GCAGTGAACAGCTCAAGTGATCCCTCTCTGGTACCCTGCCCAGCTGTCTGGCAAACAGAGGCTAGCGACACCATCCCTGCCCATCCTGGCTGAGCCATTGATGGACCAAACCTCCATGAATCTAGCTAGCTCTTTTTGAGCACTGCTGGTATCGTGGCCTTGAACATCCGCTGACAAGCAGTTCCACAGGTCGAGTGTGCGTTGTGTGAAGAGGTGTTTCCTTGTGTTTGTTTTAAACCTGCAGCCCGTTAATTTCACTGGGTGACTCCTGGTTCTTGTGTTATGAGAAGGAGGAAATAACACTTTATGATTTACTTTCTTCACACTACTCGTGATTTTATACACCTGCTGACTATAAAATCATGAAGACTCATGGATTTTATATTCCACTTAGTCATCGCTCTCCAGTCTGAAAAGTCCCAGTTTTATTAATCGAGCCTCCCTTGGAGACTGTTCCATACCCCTCATCATTTTTATTGCCCTTTCCTCTATCTTTTCTAGTTCCAAAATATGTCTCTGAGCTGTGGCAGCCACATCTGCATGCACTGGATTTATAGAGAGGCAATATTATATTTTCTGCCTTCTTATCTCTATCCCTTTTTAATGCTTCCCAACATTCTGTTTGCTTTTTTGACGGCCACTGCACATCGAGTGGCTGTTTTCTGAGAAACATTCACAATGATTCCAAGATCTCCCTCTTGAGTGGGGTGGCCGTCCCTGAAGGGTGCTGGGCGGGAGGGTGTCCTAGATGAGGCGATTCTGCCTGCTGATTCTATCCCTTTTCCATGTGTCTGTACGAGAAGCAATCCCATTCCACACACATCCCATGTTCCTGGCCCAGCCAAACCCTGACCTTGCTTTAAGTTCTGATCGGAGGAAGCTGCCTGCCGAATCTGGTCGTCCTAGCTCTTCCGGCAGATATTAGAATATTCTGCTTACTGACGCTGCGACCGCCTGTCAGGAGTTTGGTTCCAAAGGGGAAATCAGCTGAGTTCCCTCTGCAGGGCTGCACCCAGGGGCGGCCCTAGACTAGCTGCCAGCACCTGGCGCCCTGGGCGAACCATGCCATGCCATCCCTCCCCCCCAAACCCCTCCATGATGTTGGGCCACCATTTGACGCCCCATTTAACTTGGCGCCCTAGGCCACTGCCCAGTTCACAGGCTGAAGTGGTACAGAATGTCCCAGGGGCAGAAGATAGAACAAGGAGGAAGGCATCCATCCTGGTGAAATGATACACATGCTGAGCTTCTGCCTTACCCATGTGTGATCAGGATAACTGGAGGGTTTGTGGTGATCCTGCCGTGGTCTTAATGCTTATTTAATCAACGCAGTGCCGACTGGGGGAGGGTGTAAGTGCATTCAGGTGCCTAATTTCCAATTTTTAAACTAATACCAGACGGAGGCCCCGTCTCGCGGGCTCCAAGTGAACAGTCCCTTAGCGGGAGCTTTGTGTGCCTGAGTCAGCCGGAATTAGGAAGCCTAATCCGAACTAGCTACTCCGTGCCACGTGTAGCCGTGCGGCACGGGGTTCGAACTGACGGCATTTAAAAATGGTGCCGGCCGGCTTCATGCAAATGAAGCCCGGGAAATTCAAATCCCGGGCTTCATTTGCAAGCGCGGTATGCCTACATTACCCTCCTAGTTCGAATTAGGAGGGTAGTGTAGACATACCCTGTGGCAATAAGTCAAGGCCATTGTCTCTATTGCCTACAGCAAGGGTCTCCAAACTTTTCAGCCCGAGGGCCGCATTAACTATCAAACAGCAGTTCGGAGGCCGACTACACACTTGAGGTCCAAATAAAAAACAATCAAAACATGGATGTTGTTTTTAATTATTTATTTAATATTATTTTATTCAGTTATTATTTAATAACACATTGATACACTACACATGAACACCTGTATTAGTGTGAATGGTGAAATTTCCGAAATTTCTGTAATTTTTTTTCCGTAGACAAAAAGGTCTCCACGGGCCGGATGAGAGGGCCTCGCGGGCCGCATCCGGCCCCCGGGCCGTAGTTTGGAGACCCCTGGCCTACAGCAACTGGCCAAAGCACAGAGCAACAGGCCTATAGCGTTCCGGGCCAGGAAGTGCAGCAGCAGTCCGGATGCAGGGTGGGCTAGGATGGCACAGTATAACCCCCACCTGGGTTTGTCTAGGACTCACTTGAGCATTGTAGGTTCTCGGCGTGCACAGCGCAGGACCTCTGCTTTGCTTTTCATCTGAAAGCCAAACACCTTGCTCTGCGGAACGCTCTCTCCCTACAGCCCTACACTGGGACGTTGGCTTTTGTAACTGGCGCCGGGTGAAATGCTAACTAGTGAGTCGCCAGCCCCTCTTCCCACAGCACGGCACCCTCTGCCACCAGGCTGTGGGTACTGATTCAGGACTGGCATCTGCTCCTCTTGGAGCTCTGGCCTTCCCTGGGACTTCACTCAGCCAGGTAACGCCAGGGTCTAACCCTGCTTCTCCCAAGCAGCCTGGCATGGCTGCTGCCCGAGACGGTTTGGTTGCAGAACATCACATTCATGCAAGGCCTGGCGTCTAACCTCATTCACTATTTTCAATGTCTGGTGATGGAGATACCTCCCGACCACATTGAATCCTGGGTACCAGTGTTATTGAGGAGACCTCGTTCCTGTCCTCAGCTAGAGGGACACCGCCGTGACATAGGGCCCTGCACAAGAAATAAGGACCGGCAAAGATGAACGTGATCTTTGATGGGAACAGCTGGAGCGTAACCCTCTTCAGCCACTGCTGAGGGTGAAATCACTTTTTCTGCAAAGAGGAGATGCTGCTTCTGGACACGCTGGTCCAGAAAGAATAGCAGGAACCTTCGGAGAAGGGTCAAGTAGACGGGTTGCCACAAAGACTTTACAGCTACCAGATGTCACACTGCTGACTCATATTCAGCTTGTGGTCCACTATAACCCCTAGATCCCTTTCTGCCATACTCCTTCCTAGACAGTCACTTCCCATTCTGTATATGTGAAACTGATTGTTCCTTCCTAAGTGGAGCACTTTGCATTTGTCCTTATTAAACTTCATCCTCTTTACCTCAGACCATTTCTCCAATTTGTCCAGATTATTTTGAATTATGACCCTCTCCTCCAGATTAGTTGCAACCCCTCCCAGCTTGGGATCATCTGCAAACTTAACAAGTGTACTTTCTATACCAATATCTAAATCGTTGATGAAGATATTAAGCAGAGCCGGTCCCAAAACAGACCCCTGCGGAACCCCACTTGTTATACCTTTCCAGCAGGATTGTGAACCATTAATAACTACTCTCTGAGTACGGTTATCCAGCCAGTTATGCACCCACCTTATAGTAGCCCCATCTAAGTTGTATTTGCCTAGTTTATTGATAAGAATATCATGCGAGACTGTATCAAACACCTTACTAAAGTCTAGGTATACCACATCCACCGCTTCTCCCTTATCCACAAGACTCGTTATCCTATCAAAGAAAGCTATCAGATTGGCTTGACATGATTTGTTCTTTACAAATCCATGCTGGCTGTTCCCTATCACCTTGCCACCTTCCAAGTGTTTACAGATGATTTCCTTAATTACTTGCTCCATTATCTTCCCTGGCACAGAAGTTAAATTAACTGGTCTGTAGTTTCCTGGGTTGTTCTTATTTCCCTTTTTATAAATGGGCTATTTATAACTTTAGCTAACTTCAAGTCAGCGATTAGTTGTGTGCAAACATGTACCCCATAGCTACGTACCACAGAGAGCCAGCATGACCCCAAATGCCTGCTTCACCGTGCCACACTGCTCTGACGGGCCGACAGTATTTGGCTGGCTCTGCAAATCTTCGGGTCCTATACGTGCTCTTCCTGCTACAGGGAGCAATTCCATCAGGAGCTGCACTTGCTTACAACAGGGCTGGATTTGGCCTGGTGAATGGAGGATGACTGGGGCTTACTGGTCACGCAGCAGGATGGCGGACAGAGACTCCCCAGGACCAAAACGCAATCCCTGCCCGATACAGGGCAGCAAAGGGATCAGCACCCGATACAGGGCAGCAAGGGAATCAGCACCCGATACAAGCAAGCACCTAGGTCGGGGCGCCCAAGACTGGTGTGACCCTGGACCTCGGCAACTCTGAAGCCCAAGCCCCACTGCTCAGCGCTACGGTTATATGCCCCCCATCCAGGGCAGCCGCCCTTGGGCTTCAACTCCCCACCACCCCCGGCCGTGGGGCTTGGGCAGGTTTGGTCTTTGGTCCCTCTTCCTAGGCTTGTGCAGTATTTTTTGGTGCCAGAAGGGGGTTGCGGTGCAACGACATTTAGGTGACTCTTCCCGATGTGAGGAGGCCTGCTACGAGGTGGAACAGAGCAATTGTGGGGGAGGGACACGAAAGGGGGTTGGAGGTGGGCATCCATGGTGGAATGGGGCCCGGTGCTCTGGAGACATGAAAGGAGACCGGGGGAGAGCAACAGGCAGGGACTGCCTGGGGCAGGGGCTTGCAAGCACCGAGTCTGATGCACAGTGCAAGGCAGAGCCAGAAGATGATTCACAAGGTGGAGGGTGGCAAATAGACCTGCAATGACGTTGGGGAGGCTGATGGATGGGCTGGAGGGGGGAGGAGAGACAGCTCAGCACGCTTGGGATCGTCACAGGGACCCCACTGGAAGGGACCTTGCGGGGTCCTCTAGTCCAGTCACCCGCACTTGGGGCAGGACTCAGTAACGCTGACGGGTTGCAGAGAGGTCGCTGTGTTAGTCTGCTCAGTAAAAACAACAAGGAGTCGGGTGGCACTGTAACAATCTGGCTTTTCTGTACCCATGTTGGAAGGCCTGTGCTAGGCCTGAACCAAAGCCGCTTCTGCAGCCAAACTGAAGAGCAGCAGCCATTCCTGTAAGGCCTGGAGTCACATCCTCACAGTTCCATCTAGATTGTATTACAAAGTGTCACACCAGGCTGTGAGGAGGGGACTTTGCCCTGATCGCTCCCCCACTGTCCCCAGATACAGAAACAGATCTCAGGATGGGTAAAGAAAACGTAAGTCCCACCATTCTGTCTGGCAAGACACTGCTTATCCATAGAGAATGTCGTGGAATCCTCGTTCTATGATCATTGTCACTACACTTTCCTATTGTTTGTCCGTGTGATCTCTGGTTTGTAACCATTTCTGTCTGTTGTATAATTAATTTTGCTAGGTGCAAATCAATGAAGGTGGTGGGGTATGACTGGTTAGGTCATTTTGTTATGATTGGTTAGTAAAATTATACTAAAATAATTGGTTAAAGTATAGCTAAGCAAGACTCAGGTTTCATTAGATAAACTGGGGTCCAAGAAGGAGGAGAAGAAGAAGATCAGCAGTGACAGAAGGAAGAAAAGGCGAGAAGAGGACCAGCAGGAGGGGGAAGAAGAACTCACCTCCGAGACACAGCGTAAGACCAGAGAGACCGATATTGCCTGGCCAACGGGGGAAGTCTGCCTGCACCTGGATTAGTGAGCATGACCCTGTGTGCTTAGCATGTGTATTCTGCTTGTTTGGGAATTGTCAGTCAATAGAGGAGAAGGATATTATTGTGTGAGGCTCTTTCAGCAGCTAAAGATCCTGCAAAACCCGCAGGAAGATGCGCCCTGAGCCCTAGGAATTGGGTAAGGGTGGGTGTATAAATTAACAGGGTTGCACCTTGAGTCCTAGGCAGGGGTGGCCCATCCATACAGGTGAACTAGGCAGTCGCCTAAGTTAAATGGGGCACCGAATGGTGGTGCAATATCATTGAGGGGTTTGGAGGTGGGGGCGCCCATTGCATGGTTCGCCTAGGGCGCCAGTTGCTGGCAGCTAGTCTAGGGCCACCCCTGGTTCTAGGAGCTGGGTAAAGGTGTGTGTCCCTACAGTGTGGAAGGGCTAGAGAAATTTGTGCGGGTAACAAAGACTCCTTCTGCTTTTCCCTGACAGGTGTTTGTCTAACCAGTTCTACCAAGCTTTGGGTGCTGGAGAGTCCACAGCCTCCCTGGGCAATTCGGTCCAGTGCTTACCCACCTTGACAGCCAGGGAGTTTTCCCTAATGTCCAACCCGAGCCTCCCCTGCTACAATGAAACTCTTTGCTTGTCTATCCTCAGCCCTAGCCATCCCATGGCAGAAAGGCTCGGCTGAGAAAGCTGAGATCCGGGCCCTGGCTCCCCATAGCGAGCTGGTGTTTGGATTCATGTTTGCCCTGTAAATAAGCTTCCTGGCTGGGTTGTTTTAGAGACGGCCTTAGAAGGTGACCTCTGAGCACGCCGCCCTTTGCAGACGCAGAAGGGGGCGTGACTGAGCCCAGAGGCGTTTCCTGCTTTCAGTTTTGTTTACACACACCAGCCACTTTCTGTTTACACCAGCGAGTGCCCTCCGGGATTAGCTGGCAAGGCGCCAGCAGGGAAAGGGGGGGACGACTCCCCAAGGAGATGGCCTCACACCAAGCCACAGAATGAATAGTGATTAGCAGCAAGCTCTTTGAATGGCAGAGGACACCCCCCCTTGTTTGGGGTAATACCACGATTGATGCGCAATCAAGATATCATTATATCTACCCGCCTGACACCCTCCCGAGCACCTCCCGGTGGGTAGATGGGTTCTAAAGCAAGACTAAAAAGAGAGATGAGGACAAAGTCCAAGCCCTACGCCCGGGTGAGAAATACTGTCCTGCCGCAATGCGTTCCCTCTGGGATCTCAAAGCGTGGTCCAGGCCTCCTGTTCACACTCCCGGGACGTGGCGCATCAGAGTCTAGTCCGGTGGGTCCCAAACTTTTCGGCAGCACATCCCCCTTTTCGATTCTCAAGAAACCCTCAGGCGCCCCTGTGATGTAGTGTTGGTACCTTGCTGGTTGCTAAGCTGGGGCGGGGTGTGACCCCCACTGGCTGCAGCACGGCCCAGCAGGACAGGGGATGAGTCATTAGGCAAGGGTCACCCAACCTGTCTGACCAGTGATCTCCCAGGGGGAGAGACAAAGGAAGGAGGGGAGGCCAGCACCTGGCTGGGGGGCAGGGCTGGAGGGGACTTTTTAGTTTCTGTCTGGTATCATGGAGGAAGCAGCCTAGGAAAGGGCCTGGGATTTAGGGGCCCAGTCTCCCCCATCTCAAGGGGGGCTGAGGCATCCTAGGCCTGCCAGGATTACATCTATGCTGTGCTGTATCCCGGAGAAGCAATAAACTCCCTCTGTTCTACTGGCTGGTGGAGTCTGTTCGTGCCACTACGGGGGTGCAGGAGGCAAGGGAACTCCGACGTGCCGTCACAGCCCCACCCTTGGCAAAAAAAAGAAAAGAAAAGAACTAACTGGGTTCAAAAAACAAAAATAGCAAAACTTAAGGGGGGATTGACGGGGGGAGGGAGTTGGGTCGCCTTGTGCCCCCCAGTTTGGGAGCCCATGGTCTAGTCATTTCACACACTGAGAAACTGTAGCCCTGAAAGGTTACAGAGTTCCCAGCAAAACTGTACCGGCCATGAATAGAAGCCAGGGGCCTGCTGCCCACCCAGTCCCAGCGCTCACCGTTGGACCCGAGGAGCTTTGCCGGAGGTTGAATGCTTTGCAAACGGTTGATTTTAGAAAGCAACGAACGAGGCTTCTCTCCTGAGGGGACCCTGGTTCCAGTTCCCACACTCAGATACCAGCCCCCGTGTCACGAATGCACCTGGGAGCATCACAGCGGAAACGTGCTTTACAGATCCCGTTTGCTTTTCCAGAGGATCTCTTATTCCTACTTTCAGGTAGGAATAAGAGATCCTCCGGAAAAGGGCTTTATTCCGGAGGATCGCGCCAGTCTAGACGCTTTTTTCCAGCTTTTCCCCAAGCCGGAAAAAAAGCGGCGGACATGTTTATTTAAATCCCGCGGGGGATATTTAAATCTCCTGCGGATTTCCCTATTCTGAAGTTGGAAATTAACATGCCTCTTCCGGAGAAGGGGCCAATGTAGAAGTAGCCATAAAGTGTCTCCTGCCCACAGCACGTTAAGAATTGCTGAGAAAGATGCTAGAGGAACAAGAAGGATAAAATGCTCCACACTCAATTCCAACAGGCCATTCCCAGTAGCAGCTCCCATATTGGCTCGTGCGGAAGCCCCCACTTTAAGATTGGAGGAAACCGCTGGTGAACCTCAGCCCAAATGCAAGACTTCCTCTGCGGATCATGCACAGCCCCACTGACCTTCCCACCATGAATTCCTTTCTTCCTAGCTGGAAGCCATTGTGCTTCTTCCCACAGCCCCCCAGCAGAGATAATTCTGCTGCTTCCTTTCATTCAGAAATGTTTCTCTCTGTGCCCCTAGAGCACCGGTGGGGAACCTGCAGTGTGAGGGCTGGATTCAGGCCCCAGCTTGCCTGAATCTGGCCCCCAAAGCTCATGGCTCCCCCCACCAGTATCAGGGTACCAGTGCTGGTGCTCCACCCCACAGGATCCCCAACCTCAGCCTGCCAATGTACCCCCACTCTGCTCCTGCACCCTACTGCCCTCCCGGGCCCACCAACCCTCTATGTTCTAAGTCTGCTTCCTGGCAGCCCCTCCCATACACTGAACCTCTCAGTTTTGGCCTCACCCCAGAGGGGCCTACAAAATCTACTAGCTGGGGCCCCCCGGCTCTGGTGTGTGAGGGGAAAGTGGAGACTGTCTTTCTGCTCCTCAGTCTGTGCCAGGAACTTTTGTGCCAGGAAAGATAATGGAGCAAGTAATTAAGGAATTCATCTGCAAACCTCTGGAGGATAATAAGGCGATAGGGAACAGCCAGCATGGATTTGTAAAGAACAAATCATGTCAAACCAATTGATAACTTTCTGTGATAGGATAACGAGTCTTGTGGCTAAGGGAGCAGTGGTGGATGTGGTATACCTAGACTTTAGTAAGGCATTTGATATGGTCTCGAATGATCTTCTCATCAGTAAACTAGGCAAATACAATTTAGATGGGGCTACTATAAGGTGAGTGCATAACTGGCTGGGTAACTGGCTGGGTAACTGTTCTCAGAGAACAAAAGGGAAAACTATGTAGCACTTTAAAGACTAACAAGATGGTTTAATAGGTGATGAGCTTTCGTGGGCCAGACCCACTTCCTCAGATCATATTCTGAAAGGGAATTGGCATGACCATATATACCAAAGGAATACAAGGAAAAAGTGAACACATTATTAAACTGACAAATCAGATTTAGAACAGAAGGTGGGGCGAGGGAGAGGGACGGAGGGAATAGCTGTTTATAAGTCAATGAATAGCCAATCGGGGGTGATAAGTGGGGAAGCTGTCTTTATAATGTGTAAGGTAATTCGCATCTTTGTTAAGGCCCATTCATGAAGTGTCAAATTTAAGCATGAATTAGAGATCTGAAGTTTCTCTCTGTAATTTGGTGTTAAAGTCTCTTTGAAGTAAGATGCATGTAGTAAAGTCGTTAAGACTATGTCCAGGTAGGCTGAAATGCAATCTGACAGGTTTTTCCTTGTGAAGATGTCTGATGTCTGATTTGTGGGCATTAATTCTTTGGCGAAGTGTCTGAGAACTCTGTCCAATATACATAGCAGAAGTACTCCACTTAGGAAGGAACAATCTGTTTCACACACACAGAATGGTAAGCGACTGTCTAGGAAGGAGTACGGCAGAGAGGGCTCTAGGGGTCACAGTGGACCACAAGCTAAATATGAGACAACAGTGTGACACTGTTGCAAAAAAGGCAAATAGGATTCTGGGCTACATTAACAGAAGTGTTGTGAGCAAGACACGAGAAGTCATTCTTCCGCTCTGCTCTGATTAGGCCTCAACTGGCGTATTGTGTACAGTACTGGGCATCACATTTCAAGAAAGATGTGGAGAAATTGGAGAAGGTCCAGAGAAGAGCAACAAAAATTATGAAAGGTCTAGAAAACGTGAGCTAGGAGGGAAGACTGAAAGAACTGGGTTGGTTTAGTTTAGAAAAGAGAAGACTAAGAGGGGACATGGTAGTGGTTTTCAAGTACCTAAAAGAGTGTTATAAATGGGAGGGAGAAAAATTGTTCTCCTTGACCTCAAAGGGTAGTACAAGGACAGGTTTTTCCTTGTGAAGATGTCTGATGTCTGATTTGTGGGCATTAATTCTTTGGCGAAGTGTCTGAGAACTCTGTCCAATATACATAGCAGAAGTACTCCACTTAGGAAGGAACAATCTGTTTCACACACACAGAATGGTAAGCGACTGTCTAGGAAGGAGTACGGCAGAGAGGGCTCTAGGGGTCACAGTGGACCACAAGCTAAATATGAGACAACAGTGTGACACTGTTGCAAAAAAGGCAAATAGGATTCTGGGCTACATTAACAGAAGTGTTGTGAGCAAGACACGAGAAGTCATTCTTCCGCTCTGCTCTGATTAGGCCTCAACTGGCGTATTGTGTACAGTACTGGGCATCACATTTCAAGAAAGATGTGGAGAAATTGGAGAAGGTCCAGAGAAGAGCAACAAAAATTATGAAAGGTCTAGAAAACGTGAGCTAGGAGGGAAGACTGAAAGAACTGGGTTGGTTTAGTTTAGAAAAGAGAAGACTAAGAGGGGACATGGTAGTGGTTTTCAAGTACCTAAAAGAGTGTTATAAATGGGAGGGAGAAAAATTGTTCTCCTTGACCTCAAAGGGTAGTACAAGGAGCAAGGGACTTAAACTGCAGCAAGGGAGGTTTAGGTTGGACATTAAGAAAAACTTCCTGTCAGGGTGGTTAAACACTGGAATAAATTACCTAGGGGGGTTGTGGAATCTCCATCACTGGAGATATTGAAGAGCAGGTTGGACAGACACCTGTCAGGGATGGTCTAGACCCATGGTCACCAACCAGTAGATCACGATCTACCGGTAGATCTCGGAGGCTCTAAGAGTAGCTCCTGAGCCCTCTTTGAACCGTGCGCCTGCGCGGTACATTTACATTAGATTTCCTCATTTGAGGAGCAGCTACTCACCGAGCAACAGCACAGGTGAGGAGCTGCGAGGAATGGTGGGAATTTTTTTTAAAGTAGCAGTATAAGGATTGGGGATAGCAAGTGATGGAAAAGAGGAGAATAGAGAGGGCGGGGCTTCAAGGAAGGGGCGGGGCGGTAGATCTTGGCTTGGTCTGTCATTTAAAAAGTGATCTTGGGTGTAAAAAGGTTGGAGACCACTCCGAGCAACAGCACAGGTGAGGAGCTGCGAGGAATGGTGGGAATTTTTTTTAAAGTAGCAGTATAAGGATTGGGGATAGCAAGTGATGGAAAAGAGGAGAATAGAGAGGGCGGGGCTTCAAGGAAGGGGCGGGGCGGTAGATCTTGGCTTGGTCTGTCATTTAAAAAGTGATCTTGGGTGTAAAAAGGTTGGAGACCACTGGTCTAGACGGTGCTTGGTCCTGCCATGAGGGCAGGGGACTGGACTTGACGACCTCTCAAGGTCCCTTCCCGTTCTAGTGTGCTAGGAGTCTATGATTCAGTTGGGGGCCACATCAGGGAGGTGTTT